ATTCATAAATTCTCAAATTCATTCGAAATGAGAAGTGAATATATTTGCTTTGAGGCGTTTATGTGAATGTTTGCTGCAAAACTTTGAATGATTTCAGCTCAAGACCATGAGAGATACTGTTGTGACGGATCACAGTGAAAACAAGAAATCACTGATGGGTTCGTGTATGCTCAAAACATGTAAGTTGGATCACTTTTGACAATGTAGTAATGTCAATCTTGCGTATTGAATTCATTAGGGCTTTATATTCGGTTGCCATAACTGCGATGTATTTCATAAAGTGGTTTAGTGAGTTCATCGGAATGCATATACGGTAGACAACTGAGGTACTGTTTAAATTGAAGAGCTCAAGAGGCAGGCACTTTTTACAACTTCAGAAAGTGAATTGATAATGTAGTGAACATTTCGAAATATTCCGCGAAAGTAAATTTTTCGAGGTAGATGATTGTTGTTGCTTTTTGTTGCAATAACCAGTGGGCAGGATATATGTTTGGCCTGAACGCATTCGGAGATGTCATTCGAGTGAACTAATGAATTTTGATTATTTTCATGATGATAAATCTATCATTTGTTGGGGTTATGTTATGCAAATAACATTGCAATAATCAGTATGAGGGATCTGGAACCGCTTTGTTCTAGTTTTCTCTCATTCCTCAGAGACATTCCCAATGTCCCCCAGGAATTTTCAAGAATTTCGCATTGCTTTCCTCACCTGAAATTTCTTCGACTCAGCTGTAGATTCATCGCAACTTCTCTATGAATTAATGATAACTTTCTCCTGTCATTAGCACTGCCCATTCATCGCATGCTTCAGGTTTGTTGGGAATTACGTCTACGTGAAATGATTTCATTTCAGTACCAACTTGTTAGCTTTCCATCTCAAATATCAAAGATTAATCGCTGAACAATTATGAAAAGGCTGTGTTTAAACGATGCAAGTCTCATTTTGAGAACAATGAAGCGTGCTTATAAAAAGCCTAAATCGTGCTCGTTTAATGGTTTGAATAAAAACTCAAAAGGCATCAATTTTGTACCGTATCGTGAAGCAGCATAGGCTTATTATAATGACTAGTTCATGATTCAATAATTGTGATCGATTTTGCTCGAATGGTGCAGAGAAAGATTGTCCTTGCCATTTGTATAACAACTGACTATGAGAAAATAATCGCTGTAGGATTATAGAGTCTAACGTTTTGCAGTGTTTTGTGGTGCACCATTATTTTCAACACCATCGACGCCATCTTCAAGAACATCAACAAACTTCTACGAGGCTCCACCACCACCTTATTCAGAATCATCCGATCAAAATGTGTTTCAAACACAACCCACATCTGTAAATAGCACTGAGGTTAGCACTTCGTTTGGTGTGTTGTTCCGATAAACACATTGTGTGCATCATAATGCATTCGTTCTATTTACATATTTCAACAAAATCAACTGAATTCAACGTGATATCTTAAGCGACGTTAGCACTGAGATCAGTTATGAAGTTCATTAAAGACTGTTTGCAGTTGAGAGGAACGATGAGCTTTGATCTTATTGAAGAATTGGTGTCGAATATTCGTGATATGAATAGTGCTTATGCTTGACTTCTCGTCTGGAAATAGACAATAAGTCATTCGAATTTTTAGCCAATGAATTCTGAATGAACCATCGAGATTTTTGAAATGGAACCGTGTCAAGAGTTTTCTTTTTGTTTATCCCATTTGCATAATATTNCGTTCCCACTTTGATCTTCACAGCTTATCCCTTCCGCCTTGTGGTCTTTATTGTTAACCAATTAGGATTAAGGAAATTTATTCGGTATTCAACTGAAGCAAGAATTTTGCTGAAATTTCGAACGATTCGTTGTTGATACTACTGAAGAATGTGTGAAAACCGAACAATTTTAAGGAATAATGAATATTTTAAAGAATTTTAAGATTAATTTAAAGAATTTAAAGAATTTTAAAGAATAATGAAAAGATCCCAGAAGAAATTTTTTGACCATTTGTCTCTCAGTGAAAGTTTGGCATCAAGAATTATTCACTGTTCAATGTCATTCAGATGAACGTGACGTGATTCTCATGGCGGCATAGATTTTAGATAAATCACTGGATGCATCTTAAACACATTTTGAAAAATTAAGCCCAATTAGTACATAAATCAAATCAAGTATTTCTCTTGTTCGTCAGCGCTCAGCCGCTCTTGGAAGGATCAGAAAAGTTTGGCATCAAGAAAAAAAAGAGAAGATGCAGTGTAAGGCATTTAAAATTAAGCTCAAACATTTGTTACATGAGTATTTCCAAGTATTGGACATTTAAATGTGAGATAATTAGGCAAAGGTTTGGACACTTTTTAGGCAATCAAAAAGTAAAACATTCAAAGGAAAGCACCATAGTGACTCAAGCTAAAATTTTAATTAAACGATCAATTTGGTCGAACGTCCACCCCGATTATCCACTTGTTCAGATAAGAAAGTGAACAACCGCTGATCTCTTTTCAAATGTCTCATGAATCCATTCGATAGAAAGTGTACTAGACTCGAAAGAAGGCATTCATTTTTTCAATTGAAGCGGTTCGTCGATTGCTGAACGAATTCGTTTATTTCGAACTGTTTTAGAGGCCGGGGAAGTGACCCGCATCTACCGACTTCTTCTTCCATATAAATCATCCGGGAAAATGCATTCAGGTTCTTTCAACTCAAACTCTTTGATCACTAGATGATTTCTTGATCAGTAATTGATGCATTACTGTCAAAACTTAATGAGAAAGTCAGATTCAGCCTCGAATCAAAACGCTGATACATCTTGGGATACATGCTTTTTAAGGAGTGCAATAAATGTTGAGATGCTGAGATGCTTACTAAACAATGCTGAGAAGCTTACTCAACTAACCTTGTATTTACGGTACCGTAAACAGATAACTCGATAAAAATAAATCGTAGCCTGGCTCAGGCTCGGCAACATCAGTGACATTGATACACCGCTTGGTTTCGAGAAGTACATTCCTTCTTCCTGTCCGTAAAGGAAAGTTCTGCTTTGCGAAACCGACCGGTGTACCATCTTTGCATTTATTTTCGATAATGGTGACAATATCTAAGTATGTGCTTAATTGAAATTAGATCATAGAAACAATATTCGAACATATTCATGAATTACTGATTAGCATCTATATCACCAGGCATATAAACATATCTTCTCTCAATGGGTCCCTAAACGTAAGTTCTTCGTCAACTAAAACTTTGTTATTGAAACGTTCATTCGATTTCTCAAGTGTCAACGCACTCTTTGCTACTCATTTATATCAGTTTGTCTCAGAATCTTTCTCCACATGGATCATACATTCGTTTTACTAATTGAATATTCATATCTGCATTATACACACAGTTTCCACCACATTCAGTTGTTCAATATACTCGTCATAATAATTGTTCACGTCAATCAACGTTTTAATTTTCTTTCATTCATACCCTTCATAAATAAGTAATTTCGTGTTCTATTAAAGCTCTCTTTGAACGCGAGATTCAATTGTTGACTAGGTGCAAGTTACACAATAGGATTACCAAATGCATCCATTTGTCTTTGGACTATGTTAGCTGCTTTATAAATTCAAAAATGTTCACTTAATCGCTCGACTGCAAGTTTTGAGCATGATTGGTGCTGTGAGCATTAGTTCGGTGTAATGTGTTTCATCCAGCAATACCTCAAATCTACCATTACGTTATGAAGCGTGAACAGTTTTAACGACAAGCTTTCTTGAGAAGCTGATATCCTGTTTCTTTGCATTAATGGTGTCCCTCGCTATCGTTTTCAAACGGGTCTGATTTAGATTAAAATTTTCAATAATTCAACAGTGTTCATTGAAATTATTATGACTTCATTAGCAAATTCTTTTTCCATCCTTATAATGATGTTGTTTTCGTGTTGATATGGGAATGAAACATGATTATTTGATTCAGTTTCTCATTGCATCACACACTCTGCATATGATAAAAAGCTACTGCGAAATATTTATGTGGCATCGTTAATTATGAATATATCTGTTGATTATTATAGTTTGTGGTTTTCCCGGAACTAATTGTATAGCATAATAATTTCATTCATTCGTGCCGGATGTATTCGAAATACTAACGTTTTCATTTCGTTTACTCCGAATTCATCTGAACTCCATAATTATTCGTTGCAAGATTAAACTCAATTGTTACGCAACGAGGAAACGGAACATTGAGCAGTGATTAGAATATCCTTTTTGACCTTTTTTATGATTACTGCAGTGAGTTCGTCCTCTCATCCTCAATTTGTGAACCAACAAAAGAATCACTAAATTTATTAGACTCTTAGACTTCTTGGTATAGAATTCTTTGCTTGGAACAATTGGAAACTGGAACATTTTGTTTGATTTGATTATTGATTAAGCAAATAAAATTTGGTTATTTCAATTTATCAAACGAGCATTTTCTGCATCGTAACTTGACGGTAGCGGAATTTACTCTCATTTATGTAAAATACCAAAATGTTGGACATAATTATTACTTGGACATCGAGTGGTTGTTTCGTCGATCGCGGTGAGCGATCGTCGAAATATGTATTTTATTAGAGTAATGATTATTTATTGAATTGGTATTTGACTGCGTTTAATTATGCAAAGTATTCACGGCGACTAATTATTTACTCGGTTGTGTTCGGTTGGCCTGCTCGCCTAGCCAGCGGGGTGGCTTAAATTGAGGCTAAAACAATGCGCACGGAAACGCGAGCATTTTGGCCAGCAACGTTATAAACGTTTGATAGCCTGGCCGATCCAGGTAATCCAGGTAAACCAAAATGTTACCTTTTGATTCAATTGAAGTGCGGAAGCATCGGCTTAAAATTTGCATTCAGACATTTTGCAATTATTTCCGTTTGCACTTGTCGTTAGGAACATCCCTTTATTAAGGATCGGACGAGAAATCTTTCCATATTTTGATCAACTCGATATGCTCNTTTTTTTTCAGCTGCCGATGTGTATTCCTTAACTGCTTGGACCGAGAAAGCACACCATGAAACGTCGTCAGTTCGCTCACTGACACCGGTTTCCGGAATTAATGACATTGAGTGATCTAAAAATAAGTATATTCCCAAGAAAACCCACCTCTTTAAGTATGACCACAACGATTCATATTTTTTTGCGACATGAACCGAATCAGATTTGAAGCATCCATCAAAGAATCATACAAGTAGTGTCAGAGAGAATTGCAATTTTACCAGTGATTATCTGCGTTACTGTAGTAAATGACAGCATGCTTATATCTGCTCATAAAGTATTCATTGAAGCCATACGAATATTTTCATTTTCAATTCATAAGTGTTTTTCGACAGAGTGTAAATAAGCGACGATCGTAATACCACGCTCCTATAATGACTGATTTCCTAAGGCTTCATCAATTCTTATCTTTTCGAACACTTTTCGAATGCGACTATTTGCATTTTACCTTCATTCATTTTTCGAGCCCAGTTATGCACACTTCCTTACATGGTACCGAACAACTGTCACATTCGGTTCAAAACAGATAAACAGTGATCAAATTCACTGATGTTAGATTCAAAGTGGTAGAAGTACTCTTCATTATCATCGACTTAGATCTACATCATCGTAGCTTAATTAATAGGGAATCGGATCGATAATCGCAGCATTTTGAATCTGATATAATAAATGAGGAATATTTGAATCTAATAATATAATATAATAATAGCACTCTTATATAATATAATCTAATATGCATTCATCCAACTATTTGTATCCAGTTCACGTAAGCATCTCAGATTGCATACGAGCGCGATATTCATTGCTGTATGAGACCTTTGATATTATTGTTATTCGTTCATAAGAGCAAAACCATATGACAGTATTTTTTTCTGTTTTCGAAGCTTCGCTTCTTCATCTCATCTCGTCGTTCAATCAGCACTACTTTATCCTTGATATAATAATGTGCACTATCCATATTTTCATTCAATGTGATTCGATTTCTTGCAGAAAAAAAAGCGCAAGTCTGTCATCAGCCAGAAGTCAAGAAGCGACTTATTCGCGTATCAGTTCTATAATATCTGTGATAACTATGTTAAGAGTGACATAATAGTTCAGATATCACCGCACCATCAATCGGATCCAAATGTTGAAACCAAACGTAACGTTCCTACCTTGCTACAACATCCCTAGAAACATCTCATAGTTATGAATTCAATGAATCGGATTTTTTCAATTCGTTTCTCATTCACTGAAACAATTTTCGTTTGTCATGTATTGCACGTAATTAGCTTCGATCCCAATAAAACACACGTAATGAAGTATTTCAATTAAAGATTGTTGATTCCGTTAAATAGTGCAAACAAACAAGGAGTGAAATGAGCGTTCGCTTTTATATGCTTAATTGAAGTAACGCTTCGCAACTCAGTTACATGGAAATGGTCGTGACAACTGACAAACAAACCATGGAAACGGCCGAAGTTTGTAGTATCGATTCAGTGAATGCTGCCTGTTATTGTGCAAGTATCAAATTCAGTTTCATAACTGCTCCAATATTCATCATGAATTATTCACTTCATTTCAGTATTTCATATTAAAACCTTATTACAACTCTCGTGCACTTCTTCACGATAAGTTGTATTCACCGTTCCTAGGCCGTGCCTTATTTGAAATGAACAAAATTAATAATTTCACAACAATATTCTCCGCACTCGGCTATGGGTACTCAAGCAATATCGCTGTTACGTCTGACTATTCATCGTCGTAATCGTTTTTATCAACTATAACTCAACTGCATCGAAGTTGATCTTCATGATTGAATGTGTGCATGCAAAAGGATTGTACGACCTCTTCAAAAATTCATTACAGCATTCAGATAACAACCCAGTTCACGAACTTATTCCATTTACAAATTTAGTTTGTCGAATTCTATGAGTGTTTCTCGAGATAAGAGGTGGAACGTGCAAATGAGTTTTGGATTCTTAAATTTGCGTCAAATTTAATGCGAAATTGTTTATGCAATTCAGCGATGCTTGTGATGACAAGTGTGCTACACCATAAGATCAGTTGATTAAATCCGTCAGATCATTTACATCCATTCAATTCATCCACTGCTACTTCCAGTGCTCCCTATGCAGCTAACTCCTCACAAGCTTCAGCACCTTATAATCCTCACTCTCCATCAACAATTGGTTTAATTGAATTTATTTGCCTTCGGCCATCTCACACCTATCCCTGTTTCGATTTGGTTGCTCTTCCCTTTCCGTTCAAGCAACAATCACTCTTTTTGTTCTTATGTTTCATTCATATTTCTGATAACTTATTCCATTCAGATAACGTGACAGACATACCGTTTTCAATGAGATTTTACAGGCATACCGTTTTCAGATTTTGACGGATACTGAGATTTGCTTCAAAAATTAGTCGTTTTAAAGAATTCAACGCGTTATTTGTTCTGAACAAGACATTCGTAATGCCGGTATAGAAATGGCCTCTGTTGTATAACTTTAAATATTTTAATCAGTCAAATTTTTAGTAAGTGATGAGTGAATGAGTTCAGACTGAGCACAGCTGCAGCTTTTTCGGGAGCAATATGCCACTTGATTTTTCTGTCTGAGTATTCAGTGACGATATCTGTTATCTTGCTTCTCACTAGGATGAAATTTCATTATTTGATGGTGTCTGGGAGCAATTGAGGAATTGGCAAATCATAGCTGACTGGTTTAACTTCGCGTTTACTCCAGAACTGTTCAGTCATGTTTTGAAAATCACAAGGAAGTGATTTTTTTTTGATGCAATCGAATAATTCTTCACGGCGAACTTCTCGATCACCAGATCATTTTCTCAATTTTTTTTTGATTTGTCGCTAAGATGTAGCAGATTATCTGAGAGGTGGGGGAGGAATCTTTGGAGCGGGGAATGATGATCTACGACCACAGAATGACATGGAGAGCGAAAGCGTAAGAGATACAGTTCTATTGTGTTTGCGACGATTGAATGTACATGAGATTTGGACACCGAAAGCTAATGGAATGTGCATTGAAAATCGTTCGTTTAAGGTTTGAACATTAACGCATACTTTAAGCAGCGATGAAGAATCACATTATGCATTACATTCTTTTAGCACGTTCCTCGGGGAGAACATCTGTTGATGTTCAATTTAGGCATCACAAGTGAACATCACATATCGACATTTCCCACTTCCCTCCTTTCAATCATCTCAACAAAATCGCATCAAAACATATTGACTTCACAACTCTAATGTATATTTAATGAACAATATTATTTAGTTCTCACAACTGATCGTTATTGTATCCAATTTTATGGTTGAAGTGCTCGAAATCCGTACTCTTGCCTACAACGTCGTTGCCGACTCCTTATGAACCGCCGCGTACTTTCATTTTAACATTCAGAATTCATTTCATTTTCACCATATTTCTGTTCGCACATCCAACTAATCAGAATTTTTAGTGCACTCATGAGGAGAATATCTTTAGGCTGTTTTTTTAAATACATCAAGGCTGTACTTGCATTTATACGATGATGTCGTCAGCCCAATGCGCAAGAATTACACTTTATATATGTGTCTATGTTCCCTCATCCACCGCATAGGAATTCAGATCAAAAAATATGCCCACGTGATTTGCTTGACTGAACGCAAATGTAATACTTGAATACAAACCATTGGTTGTCGTTGACTACCGCCATCTAATTTCGTTCCTGAGTGACTTTTCGAATTATTCGTCTCATGAAAAGTTGCGCTTTATTATCAGTCGATGTTGACGACTCGAATATGTTGTCTCTTTCTTTGTCCATTTGATAAACCTACAACTTTGACATGGATGAAGCATTAGAAGTCAGTTCTAATTGTTGTTGGAATATCGGTTAATTTTTTATCAAAATCATATTCATCATGACCCGTATTGAGATTAGTCAGTTGCCTCAAGAAACGTTGCTATGCAATCATTCATTGGCAAATTCGTCCAATGCATTTCCAAACCAGCACATCAGATTGCAATCTATCTGCAGATTGCTTTTTCAACTATATTTCAGTTGGATGCAATCATTTCCAAATCAATGCCATATAATGACACACATCAATTCACGTTTGACTATATGCAGAATTGAAATCTCCAAACTTTCAAATTCAATACAGTTCTGCATTTGTAAAAAAACTGACCAGAATTCTGCGTATTCAACGATGGTTCTCCGCAAGTCGAAGACTAAATGACCGTGTCAATCGTTGTTTAAATTCTTTAGTCACCGAAGCTAACGGGTATGATTGAAAGTGTAATGTCATAAACTGAAAAGAGAAACAAACGAACTGAAAAGTTCGCAAAAGGCTTGCAATTTCACTGAGAACACGAATAAATAGTTTTAGATTTGATATTGAATTCGTTTCACAATATCTTATGTGAACTCAATATCTCATAGCATCATCCACTGCGGACTCGCCATCGTGCATGTACGACTACATAAAAGCGATACATAAGTGACGTTTTTCAGAGCACATACGACTACATAAAGCGATATATAAGTGAAGTGTTGAAGCAGCCCGTATTGGAGCCTGATAGAAGCGTTTCAATGTACGAGATGGGGCACGTCTCAAACATTGTCGGTTTCTATTTATGTTTTACTCATAATGAAATTAATCTATAATTTGCCTATCCGAGATCGTCAGCACACAACCAGTACCAACCCAAATAAGCTTTTATTTCATGAAATGAACATCTTCGATTTTTGCGAACAACTGTTTCGTATGAGCGTATGCACAATTTATCTCCAGCAGCTTAGTGAAATTCATGATGCAATAAAATGCACAATTCAATATAAAACCTTAGTGTTGATTATAAATCAACTATCGGAATTTACTTTGATGAATTTGATCACTTCATCGCATTAAGAATGGCTGTCAATGAACATTGCTGATGTCATTCTGACAGATGATTGCCTTAGCAGAGCATGATGAATTANAGTTTTTCGGTATGAAATGTCATTTACTGCTTCAATTCGTCTGAAAAGCAAACGATTCATCGGCAAAATCAGTGCACTTAAATCGTTATAACTACTTATTAGTTGCATACACCCACTAGTCATGCCTCCCCTATCTTGTTTACGCCTCACACTGTTGTTCCTTCATTTGATAATTAAAATTGAAAAATGAAAATTTCGGCAACAGCATTAAATAGTGCCATTTTGATAGAACATGCAGTCATTAGGTGAGTCTAAAAATGTGGAACTTTGCAGAGTGGTGATCGTGAGCCGAAGGATATTCACGAACATTATCAAAAATTGATGTGTCAACTTTCAATGAGCAATTCTTCACTTCTGCGTGAAAATGAATCGTTTCGTGCACGCTTTCAGGTTCCGTTTTTGTTTGCAACCGAACTGCATGAGAGATTTCTTGCAACATCATGTTAAAAAAAGTCAAACTCGAATCAAGTCACTCTCATATAGATTTGCTTTGAATTTGAAGCTTACATAATCAAGATACATCGATATGTTCGTACTTTTTGCGAACGATACATCTTTCAAGTAAAATAAAGACAAAACAATAATGCTAAATCAAATTTTCCATCAATGAATTACTTTAATCTTTCAGCATTTACAAATGCTCCTCCAAGATCATATTGATCATTTACACAATATCTATTACACTCTTTATCTAAATGGTTTTTCAACAATTGAATTTCCCGATGG